TAAAATGGAATAAAACAGAAATTTAAAAATAAAACTTAAAAAAAGTTAATAATATAAATAAAAATAAAAATAAAGTAAAATAAATAATTTATTAAAATTAAATAAATTTTTATAATAATAAAAATATAAAATTAATATTTTAAATAAATTAATAATATAAAATTTGAAAAGAAAAGAAAAAAAAAAAAAACACGTCGCTGTGGCCTATAGCGAATTTTCGGCCCTATAGGCCATAGCGACTCTTGAGGTGCCACCATTTTACGCTTAATTGTTGGAGTCATATACACCATGCTTTTCATTTATTCAGACATATATTACCAAATGCATTCCACAACCAGCTTTCTCCTTTTCATTTGAAATTCATACACAATCATTTTAAATAATTAAAAAACATTTCTGATTTGTAGTATTTCTAAAACATGTAGTATTTCTGATTCGTATACGTAAAAAAACATTCATTAAATAATTAAAATACATTAGTTAATAATTTAAAAAAAAACAAATAAATTAGAGGCGCTATGGCCTATAGCGACACTGTGTCGCTATAGCCCACAACGCCACTTAAAAAAATAAATATATTATTTAATTCGTCATAAAATAATAAAGGAAAAAAATATATATACACAAAACTAATTACAGAAAAATTAACTTTACAATTACAAATTATTATTTAACTGCTAATATAAAATAAATAAATTGTAAAATAAATTAAGTTAATAATTTAAAAAAAAAAATTAAATAGTGTCGCTGTGGCCTATAGCGACACTGTGTCGCTATAGGCCATGTCGCTATAGGCCATAGCGCCACTTAAAAAAAATACATTATTTAATTTCGTCATAAAATAATAAAGGAAAAAAATATATATACACAAAACTAATTACAGAAAAATTAACTTTACAATTACAAATTATTATTTAACTGCTAATATAAAATAAATAAATTGTAAAATAAATTAAGTTCATAATTAAAAAAAAATAAATAAATAAATAGTGTCGCTGTGGCCTATAGCGACACAGTGTCGCTATAGGCCATAACGCCACTTGCAAAAATAATTATATATATTTTTAAAAATTATGTTTTTAAATAAATATTTTTTATTTTTATAAATATATAATAAGTAAACTCAGTTAATTATTTTAAATTTAGATTTAAATTTTTTTACTTTTTTTTTGTTTTTTTTCTTAAATGGTATCGCTATGGGCTACACCATTTTTATTTGTGTTGCCTCAGCCCATAGCGACACTGGTATGGCTCATTCGAGCCCACCCCACACAAAAAAAAAAAAGCCACGTGGCAATGGTGTCGCTATGGGCTATAGCGACACCGTTGTAAACAACCCCAAAGGCGTAAATAGTTTCTAAAGAGCCTCATTTACGTAAATAAGTTTCCATACAGCCCTACTTTGGTCAAAAAGCCAAGTTCAATCCTAAAACCAGCATTGAAATAGATTAGGGGAGAGTTTTACTAACTTTCCTTGTTATGTCACGTTCAATATTTATCCCTCAAACACAAAGTATTAACATATTAGATATCTTTGTTAAGTTGGTGAACTAAACCCGTTCATGTGTTTTTTCTTATATTTATAATTCACAAATTAAAGCCTTTAATCTAAACAGGAATTATAGATTATACCCATTCAATAAATAAATACAACAATTTAATTATGCAAATAAAATAAAAACATAAAATAAGACTAATGTTGTAACGAAGAACATTAGAGAAAAATTTTAAAAAAAATATTGTTTAGTTTTGTAATATAAATGTTGAATATTATACATCTCCAATTTAAGAAGTCCAGCACCAACAACTTCACCAAGTGCCCCATGTCACTTCAGTTAGGGAAGTGGGCTTAACTGAATTCCATTGACGTCTTAAAGTGCATGAGTTGATAAGAAGCATAAAGATTTGTGGGGACCCTTAATTTTATAAAGGGTTAAACAAAAGTGCAACTTCAAACTGAACCAACTAAATATCCGATTCTTCCCTCGAACGAGATTAGTATATATGCACATACACTGCATAGTTTTGACAGTTTTCGTTAATCAAAATTCAAAGTGGGGCACCAACTAAAAGATAGTGAGAGGATAACGAGATCTTAAGGGATGATACCTATGTGGGTTGGTTATGCAAGTTATTATCAAAAGAATTGCAATGGGTTCGTTTAGAATCCACGTGATATAATAGCAATTGTACACTATAAAAACTATATCATCAAACCTAAAATAAAAAACTTGTCCTCTGCTTGCAACATTAATCACAGGTAATTAATAATACAGTATCATTTTCATACCCATGTGCGTGGACTTTTGTGAAGTTGGTTAACCTCTTGTTTGAGTTATGTTATTCACCATTTTTCTACCAACTTTCTTTATCATTTTTTTATTATATTAACCATCTTATCATACATTTTTTTTTCTAGCTAGGTTTTATATATGAAACATAGTAATTAAATATTCTAATCAATTGAATAAGATAATTTTATGAAAGTAATGTTGAAAAGTTTGAATATATATATATATATATATAATATAAGTTAGAATATGTTGACAGGAGATATAAATTTAAAAATTTATACCAAATCTTATATTTTTAATATATTTTTTAATATAAATTTAACTTATCTCATAATTAAATCATGAAATATTATATTTAAAATCTTATATATTAAATTTTATATTATTTAAAATTATTTATTATTTCATCAAATTATTTTACTTAACGTATGATATGACATTTAAATTTGTGTAAATATATATTTTTAGATAAAATATTTTAAAAATTTTAAATTATGTAAAATTTAATATATATGATATTGAACATAATATATATCATATGATTCAACAATTAAATTAATTAAATTTGCATAATACAAAAAGATACTAAATGTATAAGATTTGGTATAAATTTTTAAAATTACATCATATGACATTGACATATTAGACGATTAATATGAACAAATTTATATTCAACTAACTAGATCGAAATAAATAGTACATTTATAAATAATTATATATATATATATATATTTTTTTTTTTTTTTTGAATTTTTACAGATATCTATTTAATAATATTCATGCCTATATACGAGGATAATTATATAGATGAGGTGACAAAAGATTCTAGTTGAACGTTTGAACCTGGCGTGCCTACCATTCATATTTTTGTATCTTAAATATGTAAAACAATAAATATCTTAAATGTGCTTATTCAAATTAATAAAATAAAAAATAAAAAATAATATAATTATATTAAAATGTGATAAAAAATATATCAATTTATTTTATTAAAATTATTTTTAATTTTTGTCTAATATATTGAAGTTACTTTTAACATTCTTCTTTTAGTAATTATATATCAATGTCTAGTAAACGGTGTAAAAATATGTTTATTCGTCGAAAGATGGTAATGTTTCTTTGGAAAACATGCCTACTCGTGAAAACATATATAAATATTATTAGCGATGGTTAATCTCTCTATAGAATATAGATATCATCCTCTCCGATTAAAATATTCATTCGTCATCTTTTCGCTCTCTTCAAAAGTTGCTATTTTCATTTTAAATTTCTTCAATTATTTAATATTTTTCTTACATGTTTAAATGTTTTACTGAATGAAAACATTCTCGTACATGTTAATATAATGTTTTTTCTAAAAATTTGAGATGTCACAAAACATCAAAATTTGTTAAAAATTTGACCCTTATATGGCCACGCAAGTTCCCATTTCGCAGGTGCTTTTGTTTGTGCGTTAGTTACGGCAAAAGTCACGACCAACACTTAGTTTCTCAATAAAATCATTTTTTATTTTCTTTCTTATTTATTTCATAATAAATGTCACATTTAAGAAATAAATTAAGTAAAAAAATAAGAATCATATTCACTTTTCAATTTAATATTATTATATTAATGATCATTTTTCATTTATACTCTCATGATATTCTTTAAAAGATAGTTATTGGGTGACATCATGTTTAATAAACAAATTTAATTATAAAATTACTATTATCTTTTATTAATTAAATCATCTTGGTATCTCTAAAATAATCTAGGACAATATTCATTAGAGAGAGAATATTAGTCATATGATTATCTTGTTTGTATAAAACGTTGGTTTTTAAACTAATTTTGTAGTAAATAAATTACAGAATATTTAAAAATTATTTATGCACATAAAATACTTAAAAATATGCTCTTTTTTTTTTTTTTTTTTTAAATACTTCGTGTTTAAAATTCCTTTAATCGCAATAGCGTCATCTTTGGCTTCCTAATCCATCAACACACAAAAGTAAAGAAAAATAATAATAATTTTATTGACCAAATTGAGTAATTGATTGACATTCAACCAACATGCAGGGGCTACTAAACATGTAATAAAAAAAAAAAGTGTATTTAGAGAGAATAATTAATTGTGTCCTTACAAGTTATATTAACAATAATAAGGATTAAGAAGTTAAAAATAACATAATTGAAAAGAAAAGAAATGAAAAAAAGCAGAAGAGTGGTTGTATAAATATAGCAAAAACAAAGCTGTATTTTGCATGCTCCTGTCTCCTCTAAGCACCGCTCAAACACATACCAATTTTGAAACCTTTATTCTCTGTTATTCCTCTGCTTCCATTCTGCCTTCCTTCCCTTTCTATCTCTCATGCCCTCACCGAATGAAAAGAAGGACTCCTTCCTTTAGAGTTTAGGTGTGGGCACGAGTTGTTTGGCTTTCGAACAAACACTCCCACCATACGCACCATCCTCAAAAGGAATGCAAATTTAAGGTAACATTTCATTTTAAATAACCACCCCTGTTTCTCTCAGATGCACACAACCCATAATTAAGAAATTAAGTCACCCAGAAAAGAAAAACATGTTGGATTTTATTTTTTTTCCAATGTTTATTTTATCTGTTTAGACAGGGGGGAAAAATGAAAGCTTGTAGTAATGTTTTTGTCTCTCCCCTGATTCCTCTGCAACTTCCCCTGTTTCCCCTGTTTCTGTTGTTTGTGCAGTGTGTGGGGAAGAGGGAAAAATAGAAGAGAAGGAAAATCCAGAAATGGCATCAACTTTTGATCACGCTAAAGAGATTCCCAGCAGCGACGACGATGCATCGCCGAGGACGATTCTGGAAACCCCTGTTTCGGGAACAGAGTCCGACAATAGCGGCAGCGGCAGCGGCAGCTTCGGTTTCGGTTTCGGTTTCGGTTCGCCGGATAAATCGCAGTCGGTGATCGGAAAAGCGATTCCCTGGGAAAGCATGCAGCAGTGGAAGTCTATGATCGACGTTTTCAAGTTCAAGAATGTGCGAAAGTTATCGGCCTTTCCTCTGCTCGCTGTGACCAATGACATCTCTCGAAAGGGCTTCAACAAAAAACTCGCTCGTATTCGAAGTGCTGAAGAGGGTATTGATATTGGGGCTATTCCCACCAAACCCTCTTGGAGGAACTTCGATTACGAAGAACTTGCAACTGCTACTGGTGATTTTTGCACTGGTATGAACTAATTCCTCTGTTTTTGTTTTTTTATTTATTATTTGGTGAAGAATTTCAGTCTTTTTTTTTTTTTAATCTAGATTTTGGTTTGCAACTTGTTTGGTATTAATTAATCGGTCACCATTAGCGGGAGAAAGGAAACGTGAATCTGATTAATTTCCTCTTTTGGTGTCTCTTTTATAGTAATTAATAATTAATCACGTTACGTTCATTTTATTACAGTACTAGCGTAGACTCTATATGTTTTTAGATGATGTATCGTTTTCGCATTAACCTTTTTTAAATGGCACAGAATAGTTTTATTTTCTTAATGGGAAAATAAATGTAGAGAGAATTTATATTTGTTTTATTTGTCAAATGAATGAATATGAATTTACTTAATTGCAAGACTTGTATTCTTCTACTTGAGACATCTCTCGTGGGATGGTACAAAATGGTTGGTCTTAAACTGTGTAAGATGTTTACTATTGAAAAATGTGCTTTTAATAGATATTATTGAGGAGAACTGTGTTTAGGTTTCAATTATTTTATATAACATGGTTCATTGCTGTATATTATGGTTGATGGTTGATAATGACTTGGCGGTAATTGCCGCTATTAACTTGGGAGTTGGTTAGAGCCAAACTTTCCCTTGGAAACTGTAGAGTAGACGACCTTTTTGACCATGACATAGGGTTCCTGTTTCTGCATGTCCACAGACAAGGACAGATAATTTATGGGGGCCTCACATTACTAAAGCCTGACACCATGAAAATACAGTATGAATAAGGTTTGCTTGTATTTAAAATATAGCAGAAAAACTAGATTTATTTTGTTTTAATCTAAAGAGTATTATGATTTTAATTTTAATCATTGAAATTTAAGAGGGCTAGTATTATTTATGTGTAACTTATGTATTTTGCACAAAAGACAAAGTTACTTTAAGGACATTTTTCTTGAAAATACACAGGCGTGCTATTGGTTGGTGCTTTGGTTTTCACTTGTCAGCCACATCGGGCAGTGTCCCACCCTTCAGCCATTGGGATTGGAAAGTGTGTCCCTTGAAAAGATAAATCAGTGTGTCTATAATCTACAATAAAGACACTTCTCACTTTTTTTCATAGATAGCACATGCATGAGCCAAGCTAATAAATTGGTTATTTTAAATTTGTCAAGGGCACGGCTTGGGTTTAGTAGACATATAACATCTTCCCAAAGATGTTTATTAATGGTGTCAATTATGGTTGGTATATGTCACATGTTTGAAACTGGTGGGGACATTCTTTTATAGTACAGTAACTGGTGTTGGGGTTACTTGGTAAGTGTAGTAATCAAGATTTATGATGCATTGTGTTGTGTGCTTTTTTCTATCTCCTATAGATAAATATTCATTTAATCTAATGATATTTATTTGACTAAGAATATTGGAAATCATTTCTTACAGAAAAAAAAAGCCACTTGATACAATTCATAATTAATTTAAGAAAGTTATCGAGTTTGAAATGTTCATACAAATTTTATAATGTAAAATGCAGATGTAGCAACAGTTGTGAAAGCAGCATTCCACCAATACTAAATTGATAAAAAAAAAAAATTAATTCTAAAGACTCTACCATTAGTCAATGATTCAAATAACTTTAATGAAACCCATTGACAAGTAGTTTCAGTAAGAAGCCAGTCAAATAAGGTTACCACATTAGAGTTAATTTCAACTTGACGTTGTCCTATGCAATTTACCAAGTCCAATACTATCCAACTTAATAGCAGATAGTTGCCAAATTATGCTTCTGGGTCAAAGTCTAAAGTCCATGGGATGTTGGTGAGCCTTTGAGATTACCCCTTTGGTCCTATTAAAGTAAATTGAATATTTCCTTTTGGTCTTTCACATCAAGAGTCTTTGAGCCAGAATTCAGATGCTACACATTACTAATAAGGTCAATAACAGTTATCCACATACTTTGACTTTTCATTTTTTTTAATTTTGTTATTTGTGGCTCTACAGAGAACATGATTGGGAAAGGTGGTCATGCTGAAGTGTACAAAGGCCAATTACCCGATGGTCAAGTTATAGCTGTAAAGAGGATAATGAAGAATGAAAAGGATGCTGCAGATAGAGCAGGTGATTTCTTGACAGAGCTTGGTATTATTGCACACATAAGCCACCAAAATGCTACACGTCTTGTCGGCTTTGGAATTGATCGTGGCCTCTACTTTGTTCTACAATATGCTCCACATGGCAGTCTTTCTTCTTTGCTTTTTGGTGCGGTTGCTTCTCTATTCATGACTTCCTTCTCCTCTTAATTGCTTATTCTATTGTGCATGGCTAACAAAGATGTTCAACATGTCAGGTGCCAAAGGCTTGGAGTGGAAGATAAGATACAAGGTAGCTATTGGAGTGGCAGAGGGACTGCATTATCTCCATAAAGAGTGCCCAAGACGAATCATTCATAGGGATATCAAGGCTTCCAACATACTGCTTAACAAAGATTATGAAGCTGAGGTACTATGCTAAGAGCTTATGATATAAACTTTGATATTTCATATTATACTCTTTCTACCATGCTAGGCAAGGAAAATAATTGTGGTGCAATGAACTTCAGATTTCAGATTTTGGACTTGCAAAGTGGCTCCCAAGTAAGTGGGCCAACCACGTTGTCTTCCCAATAGAAGGCACATTTGGGTTAGTATTGTAGCTTCATTGACTCACATATTTCCCATTGTTACCATTTTCTTAAAGTTAAAACACTGCATGCACGAAATGGTTGGCTGCAGATATTTGGCTCCAGAGTACTTCATGCATGGAATTGTGGATGAGAAAACTGATGTATTTGCCTTTGGAGTTTTGCTGCTGGAGCTCATAACAGGTCGCCGTGCTGTGGATGATGCTAGTAGGGAA